GGAGGTCTCACCCAGCACTCTGAGAGGCTGAGGCAGGAGGATTGCTAACTCCTGGAGGCCACACTGGGAAACTTAATAACTTAGCAAGACCCTATGTCAAAATTTTTTTAATTTAAAAAAGGTCTGGGGGCCAGGGATTTAGCTCAGTGGTCCTGATGCCTGCCTCACAAGCACAAGGACCCAAGTTCAAACTCTGGTGTAAAAAAAAGGGGGAGGCTGGGGATACAGCTCAGTGCAAGGGTCCTGGGTTTGGTGGCCAGTGCCACACACAAAAAAGCAGGGCTGGGAGGCAATTCAGCAGTGCAGCTCCCGCTTGGCAAGTGTAAGGCCCTGGATTCAATTCCCGGTACCAACAAAAAGTCACCCTACTTGTCAGGGGCGGAGGGAGGCCCGGAGGTGGGAGCAGTGGGAACCACCCAGCGTGTTCAGGACACACCCAGAAAGCAAGGGTGAGTGGGAACACCCAGGACGCTGGGGTAGGAGGAGGACACCCCTTTCCGGGCTTCCAAGCTGATGTCTAGGGAATGGGGAGCAGCCCAGACCCCAGTGTGGAGGTGGGGTGTGGGGTGGCCAGGTTTAGATCCCATGGAGAAATCACTGCATTTCTGTGCTATGGGGTCTTGGTGTGGGGAGCTTCTCCTTGGCTTGGGGGTTCTGTTTTGTGGAACTGGGGTACTGGGGTACTGGGGTGCTCTACCACTCAGCTACATCCCCAGCCCTTTTGCTTATTTGTATCGGTGTTGTCTTTTTAGGACAGAGTCTCGCTATGTAGCCCAGGCTGGCCTGGAACTTGTGGTCCTCCTTCCTCGGCCTCCTGAGTGCTGGGATTTTAGGCCTGGGGCCAGGCAGGGACCAGCTCTTGGGCACTCAGCCTGCAGGTCTGCACTGCAGGTGACACACCGACTTGGTGCAGATGCGGGGCTGCAGAAGTCCAAGAGCAGTGAACTAGGGGAGGAGGAGAAGCCGCTCGCCGTCTGGGTGAGGCTGGAAGGGCAGTGTGGCCAGGCATCTCAGCCCAGGGTCCCAGCCCCATCTAAACCTGCTGCCTGGGGAGGTTCAGAGGGGCCGCTAGTGCTCCGCGTGCATGTGTGTGTGCGTGTGTGTGCATGTGACACCAGCAGGGCCCTGAGCATAGTCTCCAGGCGTGGTGCAGAGTTGCAGGGACACCCAGGCGTGGCTCCTGGTGCCCTCCATCCTGTGTCCCTTGTGACTAGCGCTGGCCGCCTCTGGGAGCTGTGGAGTGAGGACTGGGGCAGTCAGCCCCGCCGGGCCCAGGCAGTCACAGGGTCAGCAGCAGCACTGCACTCGGGGTGGGCGAGGGGCCCGTCCAGGTCCCATACAAAGCAGTGGCTGTCTGGGCAGCAAGGGCCAGCGTCTCAGGGTGGGGGCAGGAGCAGGACGCAGGGAGCTGGCCACCCTGGGGACAGCAGGCCAGCGCCCAGCCTGGCTGGCCCCTGTGATGGGCCTGCAGTTAATCATTCACGGGGCCCCGACCCATTGGCCCCCAGGGCCACAGCCCTCTGGACCAGGCCCAGGGAGGCGGGAAGCAGCATTCTTCCCTCCGTGGGGAGCATGGGCCCTCAGGGCATCCGTGTGGCCCAGGGACAGAGGGGCCGTGGGGAGCCCCTCACGGGCTCCTGCCTGTGCCGAGGACGAGGACCCCAGGAGGAAACTGCCACAGCCCAGAGCCGGGGAGCCACCTGCGTGGGAGAGGGCAACCCACAGGCACAGGCGAGGGCCATCGGTCCTGGGAGGAAACTGAGGGAGTGGAGCAGGCACAGGGCAGCGCCCTCTGTGCCAGGGCCCTGGGGGGACAGTGGACAGTGCGAGGGGACCGCATGCCTGCCCGGCGTCCTCCTGTCACCTAAGCAACTTCTTGCTCACTCTTTAATTCTCTTTGGTGCTAGGAGGGGACCCAGGCCTGGCGCCCTCGGAGCCCTGTCAGCTGGGGAGGCACATGGGGTAGAGCCCAGCACAGGCTGGGGACCTGGGGGCGAGGTGTGGCCCCGCGTGGCAAGCCTCAGGGCCACCTCAGAAAACAGACTGGCACAGGCTGCAGGGTGCTGTCCAGGCTCCGGGCTCCCACCAAGCCCCATGTGCCTTCCCAGCCCTGCTCTGGTCAGAGACCAGGGTGCCCGGGCCCTCACCTGTTCGTATGCCTCAGTTTCCCCATCCAGAAAAGGGGCCCACAGCCTTCCAACCAGGAGACGCTGTGACAAGTGCACCTTGCCCCGCCTAGCACCGCATGGCCTCAGGACTTCACACGGCCTTCCTGGGTTGGCCATGCTGCAGGCCTCTGGCGTCCTCCCGGGCAGGGGCTCCGTCCTGCGCTAGCCAGTGCCAGTGGCCTTGCTGTCCGCCCTAACAGGACCCCAGGACAAGGTTAGACTGGATAAGTGTTGGGGTCGCCAGCAGTCATTGCAGCACTGAGAGGCCAAGGCAGGAGGTGGGAACAGTCCCGCCTGGGGAAATCAACCGTTTAGCAGACAAGCGCAGTGGAAGGCCCTGCGTTCAGTCCCCAGTGTGGAGGGTTTGGGTGGGAGGAGATGTTTAAGGGACCTCCGTACTGAGATGCGATAGCCCCACAGAGGTGACCCCAGTGGTCACCTCGCAGTGAACCCAGGCACCAGGACGTGCAGTCCACACCCCGCAGCCAGCTGACCCCACTGGCTCCCTTACACCCTCCAGCCCTTCCTTACACCTGAACGGGCGGCAGATTAAAGCGCTCTGCCACCCCCATCCGGACCTCTTGACCCCAGGCCATGGGTCGCGTTGCAGACTAGGAACCCCAACACCCCGCCCCACCCCGTCGCCCGGATCCTCCAATGAGC